ACATTTTAGTTATTTGGTTGTATTGAATTTGGTTGTATTTGTATTGAATGCTTCATTATAATGTTGAAATGTTAATGTATACTGTTGAATAATTATAATAAAATGAAATTTTGTGCTTTGTATTTTTTATATACAAGCATGACCCATCGGTGAGTCATGCCGGGCGGCGGAACAATGAAACATGACCCATTGGTGGGTCATGCCGCTCCACGGAACAGACAAGTATGACCCACCAGTGGGTCAGGCTGGTATCAGCATGTTAAATTCCCCCCCCATAAATGTTGTATAGATGGCCAAAGCAAATTCAATATTCCTTTTTACTAGACATTCAAACTTCTGGATTTATTGGGAGATTACTTTCATTCTGTAAACGTTACGCATCATTTTTTTGAAGCACTTGAAAACACCACAGCAGGTTATTTTTTAAACACTCAAAAAAACAAATTTGATGATTTACATTGCCTTTGAATTTATCACAAAATGATGATTTGAAGAGCTGAAAAAATTTCCATTGAGGTCTCAGGCTAGTCTGACTAAAAAAATAATGTAATGATAGCAAGGAAACAAAATTATGTCTTATATTTCTACTCTAATGCTTTTCCTCACAAAAAGGCTGCTCTCTCTGCCTTTTTCTTTTTGAAAGGGGGGAATATGCAAGATAAAAAATATAAAAGAAAACTTTTAAATTTAATTGTCTATAACCTCTTATTTTTTATTTAATTTGGGGACTTCTTCTCCCTGTCTTAAAATAGCGCTATAAGTCTAAACTGCGTCATTCAAATTAATCACGAGATATAACGAAACTCATAATGCAGATATCTCATGCTCAAGCAAAAATAATTGTAAATCTAATTACTACTGCCACTCTCTTTTCTTTTTGCTTGTGCTTTCCTGGCCAGACATACTGTTATGATTGCTTCTATCGCCATAGTATCAAAATTGCAAATGTTCTAGAAATAAGCACAATTGGAGTGCCAAGTGAATTGTAACCACAAATGTGAATATAAGTAAATATGGAATTTAATCCGGCTTGACTGCTTTTTCTTCAAACTGGATTAATGCTCTAAGCATTAAGTCTACGCTAAACAACATGGCCAGTCTGACTAAAAAAATCAAGCTTCTACATCTCAGTGTTCTTACATCAGTGCATCCAAAATTGTGCTACTATTACATATATATGTATATATACAGTACTATTACATATATATATGTATATATACAGTACAACGTCCATTATCCGAAATGATCTAAAATGAGAACCTCAAAGCCACAAACTTTTTTTTGTATGCTTTATGTGTACACATTTGATTTTTCCTTCCATAGTAAAACATGTAGAGATTTTCACTTAAAAATTCCGATTCTTATTTTCACTTTCGCACTAAATAAATGGAAAAGCAATCATTTAAGCATAAATTTATGAGATTAATAATTTGGTTCGGTGGCTGAGTATCTGCTTGGCATACATACTAAACATTCACATATTTTACATTTCTGATGCGACCTGGAGAGTTATTATTTATTACATTTCGCTTTCATCACCGCATGTTTATCAAATACATGACAGCTTCAGTAATAACTCATGCAGCAATGTCTAAACTTTTTTTATATTAGGAATAACAAGAGTATGGCAACCTTTTATGTTAACATCGCGCTTGGTGATGATTATAGATTTTTAAATGCTTTAAGAAATGTTGACGAGGAAAAATTAAACAAAAATTTCTCTTCAAATGCTAAAAATAGATTTTATTAATGAAACTCATAGGATGAAAGATTACATTTAATGCTATTTGAATTAAGAATAACCGATATGTTATTCACCATAAACCCAGAAGCGGCTGCAGAATATGTTGGCACCGGACAACAGAATTTGGGGAAGCACTGAGCGGCAAAATTAAGAAATGAGACGTTTTTTATGATTTAAGGAAAGCACTGGGATCCAAAGTTTAGGCACGGTGAAAATTTAGAACTTAGGAAGACGCTGTGTAGCAGAATTTAGGACCTGTAGAGACCACCAAACGGTATGTAGCATCGGCCCTAGATAAAGCCTCAAGTATTTGTGGGAGTTAAGGCTCTTTGACCGATAGGATGCAGGGGGCTGGAGCAGCTTTTTAGCAATTTTTTCAGTTTCTACATACTTGTAGGAGCTTACTCCACTCACTTTGATGGAAAACGGAAAGCCATTCATGTAACTCTCCTACAATTATCATTGAGACAGAGCTTGTTCAGGAGGGCTATTGTACTATCTGATTCGACTTCAGCAATACAGGCCATCTCCTCTTTCCAAGAGTGTAAAAACATATGCGTTCAATACTGTCAGGAAGTCGTAAAAGAACTTTCCCACAAGGTAGCTTTTCAATGGGTACCTTCACACTGCGGTATTTATGGGAATGAGATCTGATATGCTTGCGAAAAGGGGGGCTACGGTTCTCCAAAAGCCAAAAACAAGTGCAAGCCTCCATTCTATTATGCTTCTGACATCGCTAACATATCAAAAGACTTTTAAAGATTTTGCCACTCGGGCTTGTGAGGGCAAGCCTTGGAGCATTCTCTCAACAAACTCAGCTTTTGTTTTTGATCACGCGCAAACAGTTGCGGTTACATCTTTTAGACTATTGACGGCGCATTACTGTTTACAGAACCGTTTATTTCGCATTGAACTAGCTGATTCGCTGTTGTGTGTTTTATGTAATAGTGGACGGTAGTGATGAGTCGGTACTACCGAGCCGAGTATTTTGTAACGGGTACTTAGTTGTAATCGGTACATCCAAGTACACGTTACCTCAGTACCGAAATCGTTACTTTTCGGTATTCGTTACTTCTGTACCGAAACGGGTACTTTTCTGTATTCGTTACTTCTGTACCGAAACGGGCACTTTTCGTTATTCATTCTTCTGTTCCGACGGTGCTTTCGGTAGTCATTACTCTGTACCGAACGGCTTTTCGGTATTCGTTACTTTTGTAATGAAATATGCATCTCTTTCAGTTTTCGGTTTCGTACTGCGGATCGTGAGGGTTCAGCTCACTTCGTGTTGGTACGAGACGATGTGTATTTGTGAATGTGAGATGCGCTCCTTTTCCATGACTAGTCTTCTCCTCAACACTTCCGTATTGATATTTTTCTGATATTCAAGTCTTACTCCGTCAGTAAATCAACACGTGGTCCCTTGAGGCCGCCAAAATCGTAGCTCTTATTTCGTCTCCAAATCGTTTACTAGGGTACTATGGTACAGGTCAACCGCTACTCCGGTATTTCGTTACTTCGGTACTCCAAATCGTTACTTGGGTATTCGGTACTTTTCAAAGTAACGGGTATTTTGTACCGGGTACTTGTCTGTACCGGGTACAAGAAAGTACCAAAGTTGCCCATCACTAGTGGACGGCCAATGACAGCGGAACATTTGGACGAGTTTGAAGCATTGACAGATTTCTCATGTAGATTTCAGCACTTTTGGCAAGCAAGGAGTTTAATGGCCTAACGGCCAATCTAACTGGCATTTGACAAATAAATATGTGGGAGTTCAGGACTCTGATTAGTTTTAAGCATGTAAGTAAACGTAGGTATAGTAAATAACTAAACTAATACAATTCAGGCTTCATTCAGTATGCAATAGGAGCAAACAAAATTTAGCGAAACAACTTGGCTTTCATCGCCAATCATGTGATACACAGCCAATAATATATAGCGGAACGCTATTAAGCTAGGCTAAAGTTATCTTTACTAATTCTAAATCATTTCAGTTAATGTAGCAGACTGCGCCACTCCCTAATCTTCTAATTTGATTCAGCTTATTATTTTTTGCAGGGTGTTATTATTAGGGCAATTTTATAAAAACTAAGGTTCAACTTTCGATTATGTCGGAAAGCGTTTTCAATTCTGGAGCTGGCAAAGGATCTACAGTCCGTCTCAAAATTATGCGAGGAGTATGGCATTGGAAAGTCAACTGTTTATGACATAAAAGAAAAAGGAACTCTGAATTTTTTGTGGAAGCAACTTAAACAACTTACATTGAAAAAATGTTAATAGTAAACAAATATTAACTTCTTTGTAATTGATACCTTTATATCATAATTGTCTTTATTTCTAAATACGATTTCTATTTTAATCGTATAATTTCTGCAGGCCATCTACCAGATTTAAATAATAATCTAATATCCGGAACAATCCAAATCCCGAATCGGCACAGTCCCACTGGTCCGGATTTCGGACTTTGTACTGTATTTAGATTCTTTCCCTAAGAACACAGAGGAGTGATAAAAACAGTATGAAAGTCGTCGAAAATTACCAGATTCACTCTAATTTATTTTACACAGGGCTTATGCAAACTTGAAATATTACACACTCCATAAATCGAAACAATAGGAGCTTTGAACAGCGTACCTTCAAATATCAAATTCAGAGTGTCATGTTCTAATCACATTTTGTTTCAGCAACGCGAGACGGGATGGCAAAGGGACATTTCAAAGACGCACATTTTCAGAAACCCCCGTATTAGGTACCATTTTCACTACTACAAAGACGTGAACCCAAACGTAAATGATTATCCTCGCTTGTGATCATTTTATCTTTCAGAAGCAAAACCCGGGACAGAGCTTCAGCTGAGACATTTTCGGTGAGGTTTGAAAAAATCCCACGGTAGCTGCAATGTCGTTTTCGTAGCTAGGCGGGACTTCGCTTCCAGTGGGGCTCTTTTTTCTAGGAATCCTCCCATTTAAACCAATGCTACCAGCATCTCGTTTTTCAGAAAAGTCCCGTTTAGCAGGGACTGTCGATGGAAGTGATAACCCTTTCCGTAAACTCTGACGCCTGTCTTTTCCTTTTTTTGAGCCTCATCACCACCTTTTCTCCTTTGTCTTCATCTGATGCGCACCTTTCAAGAAATGTAGTGTGCTGATTGCTACACATATATGCAATAGAAAGTTTATAATACATTTTTTTTTCATTGGAAAAGATTTAATAGTATTAATAAAACTTCTGTGACTTGAATATTTCTTAATTTTAGGGCTCTACTATTGGAGAATTTGCTAAGGATAAATTTCCAGGAGAATTTTTAGATGCCTGGCGTGCTGCTTTGTCTAAAGAAAATTTTGATACTGTAAGTTATTTATATTTTACACCTGTCCTATATTGTTAAGTATTTCTTATCTGTCATTTGTAAATGATTTTTTAAAGTAAAGATGAAGAAAAGGCTAAAATTGCTGAATTCATGATATATTTTTAATTCATTTTATAGCAAAGCAACATGGTGTTTTTCATTGTTTTTAGGGTGCTTAATTAATTATATCAATTATAACAGCAAGTATTGGTGTTTGTTTATTATGCTATCATTAATTATTTTATTTTTTTTTACATTTTGTATCTAACTACAATTTTTTTAAGATGGTTAAATCATAAAAAATATAATCTGATATAAGGGAAAGCTTACATAGTGCCCTGACTTACAAGTCACAAGTTAAACAGTTTTATGAATATGATACTAGCTTTAATAGGTTTATAAATATTTAAAAATAATGCTTCTGTTTTAGGTTGACGTTAGTGCTACTATTGCCTATCTTATGGCTCCAAAAGAAGATTCTGAAATAGCTATTTTAAAGAAAGCATGCCAAGTTACTGTTGATGTATACTCAAAGTATTTGAAGGATCAAATAATGGAAATCATCGATGCTGATAAGGTAATTAAAAGTTGTATATGTATACTCACTTTCCAATCTGTTAAATTATGCTTGTTTACAATTTTAAAATAATATTGTAACAAAATATTTTTTAATTAAAGAGAGTGAAGCATTCAAAACTTTCTGAAAGTGTAGAACAAGCTCTGAATGATAAGAAGTATATAACGGGTGTTGATCCTAATCAGGTTGATTTGTGCTACCCTTGTATAATTCAGTCAGGAGGAAACTATAACTTAAAATTTAGTGTTGTGAGGTAAGTAATCATTAAAATTAATTTACTAAAGTTACTTTAAAATGAACTACAACATTTTTACCCGTATGTATCTGGTTTCATTTAAAAATTTTATTTCCTTTTTCAAATGTTTTTCATTACTATCCAGTTTAAATGTATAAAGTTAGTTTTTTTGTTTGTTTGTTTGTTGTTTTTTTATTAAAAGCTGATTTTAATGGACTTAAATGTATGATCAGATGTTCAAAAAATTAATTTTGCTTTCCTTTGTAATAGTTTGTAGTATAAAGAGGATCATATATAAGAATAGGAATATAAAGCCATATATATGCTGAAAAAAAATTCTGAATTTTTTGCTGTAAAATTTCTTTGGACAAACATTGTTTACAAAATTTCATAAATCGCTAAAAATAGTTATATAGTCAACTAACAATTAACTGGGAGTGGATACCAAGCCTTCTTTTAAAAAATGTTGCATATGTTTATTGTGAAACATTTAGAAAAAGTTGCTATTAATACAAAGAATGTAAAAGAAAATCATGTAAGGAAAATGTAAAAAAAGGTAAAGAATAATATGAAGGATGACAATAGTAATTAGAGATAATCTCTTCCAGATTAACTGTGGCAAGTAGCAGAGTTCTAACCAACTTTTTTTTTTAACCTGGTAATTTTTAAAAAATGCAGGTAATTCTTCATCTGGGCTTTTTAAGATTGAATTAATAATTTTATAGGTTATTTTTACTTTGGTAACAATTTAAATTTCATAATGGTTATTCTTCCATTATTTACAGCATGTTCTTTTGTTTTATTTTGATTGGGCAGACCTTTAAAATTGGTACGTAAGGAGGTGTTACACTCAAGGTTTAAGGTAGAAATAAAATTGAATAATTTTAAGTAATGTATATAGCTTATTGTATTGTAATAAATGCTTAATAATTATATAAATATTTATTTCTACCGTCAATCTTCTCAGTGACAGGATTTTTTTGTATCTGCTCGAGAGTTATATTTAAACAGTGTTTATTGACAAGATTTGTGTAATAACTTATTTTACGCTTTGTTTTCATAACTTCATTATTATTATTGTCCACTATTAGATGCTAAAGAGATTTAGAGTGATGTTACTAGACTAAGAGGCACGAAGGCCTCATTAATCCTGGTGTTGACTCAACTTTTAATATGTGTCATTTGGAATGCTTTAGTAGAAATCTATGCATAGTTTGTTGATTCTATAAATGCTTTGTAAAGTCATTAATTGTACCATTTGGATTCAGTATTGCATCAACAGTTTTAGTTAATAATTTGATGACATGCAAGTGTAATACCAAAAAATTTTTAAGCAAATTGCGAGTTCAGTACTACAGGTAAAAAAACATCTGATAAATCATTGTTGCAAGGATTCATTGAGTAAAAGAAAAACCTTGAAAAGAGGATGGTGAACCAAAAAATAGAAGACACTGTGCATTAAGGTGATATATCATTAAAAAATGTAAGAAAAATATTTTTTAAATCCCAAGTTAATTTACACAAACTTATAAAGCCGTACGACTTCATAAAAGCAGTCATGTTGATGAGATGATTAACTTTCAAAGAGGTTTTAACTCAGTCACTTTAGATAAACATAATTCTATTGCAGATATGTGGGTAAGTAATTGTGTAGTTTATCAAAGAAGTATTATCCCATCGACTGTTGGCAGAATTTTCAGCAATGATTGTCGTTTTTTTACTGCAGAATTCTAAAGGTCATCCATAATTTATGCTAAATTCTACTACTTGGCTGGTTGATGGGATAATATGTTTAAAATCATAAAGAAGTTTATTGTTTAAAAAGTATGCATATTTTTATAGCTTTTATTGTTTATTCAATGTAGTTTGTTTTCTTTTCTAGTGATAAGAATAATTTAAGCTTCGGAACTATTATTTGTGCACTTGGTGCTCGGTACAAATCTTATTGTTCAAACATTGTTCGTACGTTATTGGTCAATCCATCAAAAGAGCAAGAAGAGCTTTATAATTTCCTGGTGTCCCTTCAGGAAGAAGTTTTGAACAAGCTACAACATGGAGTGAAACTCTGTGATGTGTACAGTGCAGCTGTATCTTTTGTGGAGAACTCTCATAAAGAATTGCTTGATAAGATGGTCAAGAACTTGGGGTATATCTAATACACTTTTTCCTTCCACATATTGAGTGCTATTTAAATATTTGTAATGCAGTTATAATTTTAGTAAGCAGTGTAGTATGCATTCAGGTAGCTGTTTCTTTGTAGGTTTGGAATGGGTATTGAATTCAGAGAGAGTACACTTGCTATAACTGCTAAAACAACTGCTGTAGCTAAAAAAGGTAATCTTATCCTTCTGATCACTAATTATGCAAAAAATATATAAGCATGTTTTTATTAAACATTAAAAATTTAAATATGTAATTCTAGAAAATTTTTTAATTCCTGTTCATTCCATCTTTTTTTCTTTTTTACTGGTAATATTAAAAGTTGCAAGCAATTGTTCAACTTGGTTGTATCATTGAAAATTTGAATAATCACTTTATAGGTCATTTTTACCTTGAGTAACAATTAAACTTTCATATTATTTTTGTTTAAATATGAATTTCACTAACGGACATTGACTAGTAGTTTTCTGGATTGCATTGGATTGTGCTAGTGAACTGCATGTTGAGATGTATGTGTAATAGCTATTTAATTTCAGAAATTTTATGAGGGTTTTTCTTTGTTTTGCAAATTATCAAGTAAAGTTAAATGTATTTCATCAGTATTTAATAATAATTTCCTCACTAAATATTTTGAGGTCAGTACCATATTACTTAAGCATTATAATAAAGAAGGAGAATATACTTAAAGATTTGTTTCCTGTAATCGCACTACTCTAAAACTTCAGATATAGTTTCAGAATAACAGTGAATTATAATATTGTTTAGTTAACAAACTAGAACTAAATGTCTGATCAATAAAAAAAGTTCATGTAATATTTATATATACATATATTATCACTGTGATGGTTTATTTTAGTTTTTACATTTTAAAATATTCTTATTCTACATTTATAGGATTTTATGAAGTTCATTTGAATTTCAATTTTTAATCTTTGTGAAAAATATGTTCTAAATTTCTTTCTTTGTATATTTACTGATCTGTTTTCAGCGGCATAACGTACAAAAATTCTTGGAAGGATTATAAATTTTCCATTTTAAAAATTATTCATATTTACATATATATATATTGAATTAATGAAATAAAATTCATTGAAATCCAAATAAATATAAGTAAAAATATTTAGAAGTAATAAAAAGCTTAAGATGCTCTAAAGCTGCTAAGTAATAAATCAATAATTTATTATTCAAAAAGGTATTTATTTATATATCATCTCCAAGGAAATGAAATTCAATTAAAGCTATGAATTATTAAAAAAACTTAATTAAGAATTTTAAGTAGCTTTTATTTCAGAATCACTTTCTTCATCTTTGTGAAACTTAAGTTTGTTTATTTACATGCTTGAAGTGTTTAAGTTTGTTTATTTATATGCTTGAAGTGTTTAGTGTTCAATGCATACTTTTTAAAAAGCTATTAGATTAATTTATATTGCACCTGCATAACATACAGCCTACAGTAAAATTAATAATTTGGTAAATGTGACGTTTTGAGCCAATTGAATGGCCTTAATTTCTGAAATTCATGGGAGAAAAATATGCTTACTTTTAAAAATGTCTCTCGTGAAAAATTCAAGGTGAAATTATTTGCATGTGTATCAAATTAGTAAGGGCATATGTTCAGACATTTATTTTTCTGTAATCAGAACCAGATTCAGAAATGTATGTACAAAGTACAGCCTTTTAATTTTCAGGACTGACATAACTGTACGAGAACCGAAAATCGTCAGGATGTAGTAATGCTTGTTGCAGCCTTTTAATTTTCAGGACTGACATAACTGTACAAGAACCGAAAATCGTCAGGATGAAGTAATGCTTGTATTTGGAAGGTCATTTGTCTGGAATTTCATTTGTTGGAAGATCATGTCCAATGAAGTCAGTGCCATTTGCAAGCAAGAAGTGGTTATCCTTAAAACACACATTTAAATGTAGCTGGTAAATTTTTGTTGTTGAAGTCAATATAGAGAACTAATATTCTGCTTTGAATTGCACAAATCTGTACACAGAAGTCCATGAAATATTGAAACAAGTGTGCAGATAGGAAGCATTATCTTGTTCACACACTTTCGAATGGTTTAGCTGTTTTCAGAACAGCTGCAAAAGTATGAAACATGATGCACACACTGGACATCTGCCTGCTGTGCCAGAAACGATTGAGAAAGCTCATGAGGTTGTTAATCAGATCATGGATTAATTATTTGAGTACTCACCAACCATTTCCAAGGAGGTGGTTTGGCAAATTTTGACCAAAAAAAGTAGGGAAATGCAAGATTTGTTCCAGATTCACTCCTCGTTGTGTATAGGAGGAATAAAAGTAATTCAAATAGGACTCAAATGGTTAATTCATCAATAACACTGGCTCTGCGTTCCTCGATTCAATAGTAATGTGATACGAATCTTCGTGTTACCTATGTGACTCTGAAAACAGCAGAGTTCTGAGTGGTGGTCTCCAAGCTCATTAAGCCTGAAAAAATTTCGATTCCAAAAGTCCAGAATCAAGCAAATGTTAGTTGCTTTCTTTGTTAGCAAAGGACTGATTTGTCTTAAATTTGTGCAAAATTGTCATTGGTCAGTTTTATGCAGAAGTTCTTGCTGGACACTCGACAAAGAGTTCGCTGAGTAAGGCTTCGTTTTCAATGGCGTTTGCTCATTATGACCCTGCCCGCTCATGTTGATAATTCCCGGTAGCTGTTTGTTTTTTTTTTTTTTTTTTTTTTTTTTGCCCAGCATGAGGTCGTGGAGATGCAGCGTTCTACATACTTTCCAGTCTTAGAACCACAGACTTTTTCTTGCTTGCAAAATTGAAAAATTTGCTGAAAGGGACAAGATTTGGGGATATCAAAGCCATCAAGAAAACAGCGATGTGTACATTAAAGAGCATTCTAAAATAGGACTTTCTGAGCTGAGGAAGTTTTTTCTGAAACTTCTCCTGCCGAGCACAGAAGTGTATTAGTGAGGTGGAAGTTGCTACAAACCATATTAAATGGTATGTATTTCATAATATTTTCTTGAGTTATTAGATTAGTTCTGGAAATGAATGGCCGCTTGTGCATACGTGTCAGGAAAAGTACCGAAATTTTCTGAAAATATCAGGCATGACGCGAAATTCCACTTTTTTGAGCGTTACCCAGGCTGTTTCTGAGATTGATGCAGAACTGTTGAGAAATCACCGCCGGCAAATGTGTGTGTGTGTGGGGGGGGTGTAAATGGAGGACATGCTCTCTCTCTTTGTAAAACAACTTTACATCATGCCAGAGATTGCAAAATGCGTTGTTTCACATGAAGGCAAACTAGGTGGGGTTTATGTGGAAAGGCGAAACTAGATGCGTACGAATATCGAATCAAAGAACAGCAAGCAACCGTCAAATGAAAGCTGACTTCAGTAATTTCAGCGATCAGTGCTGGCGCCATCTGTTGGACATACGGATACCTTACTGATGTTATCCAGAGCACGTGCGATTTTTAGCGTGTGTAAAGTGGCATACTGTAATTCGGAGCGCAGATTGTTATTTATTTCGTGTTTTTGTTTGTTGCTGGATTTTCAGTATGACATCTTAAATAATTAACAACCGAATCATGAGCACAAAGAGCGAGAAGCTAAGAAACAAAGCAATGAAATGTAGGCAGAACATAAAAAAGTATCATGGATGGTATAAAGAAAGCCTGCTGAAAGAATTGGACTCTTGCACATAGAAATTAGAAAATTTGGCTGCAAAGTAAAAAAAGAAAAAGCTTTTTCCCGAAAAATTTTTAATCAGGTCGAGTGTGACTGAGCAAAATAGTTATTTTTTATATTCCCTCCTTTATTACAACTATATTTATTTTGTAACGATATATCTCACATCCGAATGGTTTTGGTGTTATATAAGGACGGTTTATTGAACTACAAGGGAGAGAAGTGAAGAGCTCTGTAACAGTTAGAAGATATATATAATATTATCTCTAAAACAAACTGACATATTATATTATATGGAATATTTACCATAAATACCTGTAGTAGTGTGTAATGTCATGTACAGTTTACCTGTAATCCACTGTTTAAATTAAGTTACGAAAGATCATCTTCAGAAGTATTCATTACAATCTCTGGTGTTTCCTGATTGTTTTGTTAACAAGTGGAAGATAAAATTAATTGCAAAATAGTAAGTACAAGTATTATTTTAGTTTAATACTTTTTATATTAAAAGGTTATATTTTATTAAAATGTGTTTTTTTGAGGCCGCGCGTGCTCATTTAGTTTTTGTGTCCATGCGTTGTTCAGCTTTTTTTGTCAACTTGCACTTTCATGCCTGAAATATCATTAGATGGTGAAAAGAAAAATGAGAGAAGTTCAAATAAACTTTGACTAAGGGATGGATTTGGCAAAAGAGTATAGTTAGAATTTGAAAAAGAACTCTAAGGTTCCATTTTCTATTGAAGCAGATCTGCCTTAAAGAAATGCTAAGTAAATTTTCAATCATAGGGAGAACATCATTATTCATAACCTCAAGATTGACAGCTTAACTCATTAAGAAGGTCAAGTGTGAGCTTTGTCAGTCAATTATACACAGCCATGGAATTATAAATCTGTGTTATTTGAGTGTATTGTGCTATATGTTAACTGTAGCTGAAATCAGCTGCCCCTAGTATCTGATTTCTTGTGTTTGGGCTTCATGCTGTCATGTTGTGCAGCCCTAATGAATAGTCTGTACTATTCAGCAATTAGTAATCTGTACACGTTTATAAAAACATAATTGTTAATTATTTATAAATTTACTCTCTCCCTCTACTCTTAGGTTCATTGCATAACCATGAAAGTGTCATATTCTAAAATTAAATTCAGCATTGATCTTTGTAATAATGTTATGTAAATTCATTCTGCACAGAAAGAAATTTTGTATAGCACAGGTAATAGCAGTCAATTTACTTAAATTACCCTGCTGATGTAGAAAAAATAATTTCATTGCTTAATTTTGTTGTGAATGTTGTAAGTGAGGTTGTTATATTTGTTGGAAATAAAAATAATATATCATTTCAGTTGTGTATAACTCTTTTCACATCGAAGTCACCCAAAAGGACTGACCATTCAGATATTGGCAGGTCGCCTGAACACCTGAATAATTTTCTACCTAGTGCTTCCCCCCGTCACGTTAGTACATTGCTCATTGCAATCAGGAATTGTTAAATGACATGCGAATCATTCTGACCATTCAGATATTGGCAGGTCGCCTGAACACCTGAATTATTTTCTACCTAGTGCTTCCCCCTTCACGTTAGTACATTGCTCATTGCAATCAGGAATTGTTAAATGACATGTGAATCATTCTTTTGAAGCGAGTAAAAGTAGTTCTGTTATTTTCCGTTCTGTTATGAACCTTCCTTTACCTATGTGTACTGTCATGTATAGCTATTGATGCCCAAAGTTGCAATCCTGTCCCAAGGGGAAACTGCACACAGTGGTGAAAGCATTCAAGAAAAGAAGTTATTTTTTACTTAAGTAGATTATTGTTGGCACTGTAGCATTCTACTTGTCATAGGGAAAGGAAACCCATTCCAACAAACATGCATATATATATATGGGCGTTTTAGATGTTTGAGTGAAATAGATTTTAACTCCTACCCATGCTAGAGAGTTAAATGTAATTAACAGAAATTTAAATTCCTTCAGTTGCATTTTAGTAAATATAGATTTTGCATGTAGAAAGTAGGTTCAACCAAGTTATCTGGAATTTTATTATTATTTTCTCTTTAGATTGTAATATAAAGAAAAAGTCTGTTCATAAAATATACATTTTTAATTCTGTATCTGTACGTCTATAGACATATTTTTTAGCAATTTTCTTCTAAATTTTTTCAATAACTTTTATATTTTATATCAAACATTATAGTGAACAGAAAATATATACCTTAATTTGGCAAAGGGACATTATAATTATTTTTCTTCTCTAGTGGAAGATAACCTTTTGGTTGTAATTTTTTAGGTATGGTTTTCAGTATAAATGTTGGATTTTCTGGTCTTGAAAAGAATAAAGCAGAGGACAAAACTCCAGAAATATATGCGTTATTCATTGGTGATACAGTATTGGTTAATGAGGTTTGTTCATTTAATTATGTTTAATTGCATTTTTGGTATTTAATAATTAGTGTTGCTTATAACATCTCTATTATGTTAAATATTTTAGGGCCAACCATGTACAATTCTAACTACAAATAAAAAGAAGTTGAAGAACATTGCTATTGTTTTAAAAGTAGGTTATTTTATCTTAAAATTCTTCTATATATTAATTAAATGAAAAATTTATGTAACTTCTATATTTACTTGCATATTTCTCCCTTGCTTTTTAAAACTTTATGGATATGCTTAATTTTTAATTTAGTCCAGAATTCTTGAAAAAAAATTTTGCATGGATGTCAATTCTTGGAATTTGCCATAATACTAATCTTTGTGCGTACTTTTTAAGATTTTCACGTAGAATTTTAATCAAGACCATTCATCTTTCCACTCCAAAATTGACCAAGGTATTTAATTTTTACTTTAGGTTATGTATAAATTTTTCAGTATCTGAAAACCAAATAATTTTTCTCTGTCTCTGAGAAATTGGTTAAAAAAATAAATTAGGATAGTTTGAGGTTGATTTTTGTTTCCCAATTTAATTCTATTCAGTGATACTCCTTTATGGGTACTAATGGTTCTTTAATTTATAATGTATCATATTTGCAAATAATTTATAAGTTTTAGAAGGTTAAAAATAAATTGATATTCATTTGTAATTTTATTATTTTACAATCATAATTTAATAGTCATACAAACAATTCATTGGTTGAGAAATACTTTTCATTTTTAATTTATGCAAATAGTGTGTCACAATGAATTCTTTAAAATTTTGTGAATAACATATCTGTTTTGAAAGAATTTATATTGAACAAAATATTACAGGATAACTTGGTATCAACACTATTCAGTCTGCTAACTGTAGAAGATTTTTTTATAACTTATTTCATTTTTAGGTACATGCAATTTTAAATGTTTCTCTTTCTAGTTTGCATGTAATGTCTTAATTACCTCTCACGCCTCCCCCCAAACAAAAATCAAAAGTTAACTGGCATATGGGAATCGAACTTTTTGTTTTATTTTTAAATGAGTTAGAACCTTAATTAAATATAACTATAGAAATCAGTTGGCTATATATAAAAATTGGATTAATTATTTTTTACAAAATTGATATTTAAAAATTTCAAAACATTAAAAAAAAATTGTCTTACTGAAAACACTTTTTGGTATATGTCCACAACCAGTGATTGCAAAAATAAAGGCAACATTAACCACTTGCGCTACGACTAAACTTCGCGGTTGCAGTGCCGTGCCCTACAATATAACAAGCGGTAAAGTGTCTCATTTACGCTGCTCCGCTTCTGTGAGTGCAATCCATAGCTGTAACTCAAGAAATAAACAATTTCGTTGTTAGGCGACGTGTGCACCAAGTTATTTTCATTTTTGCGATAAATGCCTATCGACGTGGTGTTCATAGTGATGGGCAACTTCGGTACTTTCTTGTACCCGTAACGAGAGTAACGGGTACAGACAAGTACCCGGTACAAAATACCCGTTACTCAAGTAACCGTTACTTTTGAAAGTACCGAAAAACCGATTTCAAGTACCGAGTACCCAAGTAACGATTTGGAGTACCGAAGTAACGAAAACCGGAGTAACGTTTGCTGTACCCGTAGTACCTAGTAATGGTTTGCTGTACCAGAGTACCGGAGTACCCTAGTAACGATTGAGATCAAATACCCTAGTAACGATTTGAGTACCAAGTACCCTATAACGATTTGGAGTACCGAAATACGCAGCTAACAATTTTTGCGCACTGAAGGACTCTGCCACGTCACCACGTTTGATTTTTTATCGTACGGCGAAAGATTTGAATATCAGAAAACATGTGAACTACGGAAGTGTAGGGAGCAGTTTCCATTCATGGACACAAAGGAGCGCATATCACCATTTCGCAATACAAACCAGATACTACTGTCCTCCAACCAAAACGAAGTGAGCTGAAACCCACATCGATCCTCCAGTACGAATACGAGAAGAGATGCATTTTCGTTACAAAGTAGCAATACCGAAAGCACCCGTTTCGGAAATACCCGAAAAGTTTTCAGTACAGAAGTAACGAATACCGAAAAGTACCCCAACGAAAAGTACCCGAAAAGTAACGATTTTGGTACTGAAGTAACAGGTACTTGGATGTACCAATTTTCAGTTCCCGTTACAAAATACCCGGTTCGGTAGTACCGACTCATCACTAGGTGTTCACGTTACTCACGGTTTGAGACAAAAGCATCTCGACGTGCGTGGCACGTCTTTTTAGAGCAAGTGGTTAAGATGTTTAGGACCTGATGTGGATGTGTATATATATTTATTTACAGAGTTTCCAACTCTCCTGATTTCTGACCATACACCCATCAACCTGATTTTTAACATATTTCTCACGACTTATTCCTAAAATTTACCATGCTTTTTATGTAGCTTGGCTTAATACTTCATTTATTTGGCTCCCAAAAAGTGATTTTTGGCATCTGAAAATGCTTCTTTTTCTCTAGATGCTTATAAAAAAAATGAAATTGAGATATGGTGCGTTTCTGCTTTGTGTATGAGAATCCGGAACACGTGTCCAAAAAACATCGTGTTCGAGTTCTCCGGTGAGAATCAAGTGCCGCTGTGCATTATCTGTAATATTTTAAACAGTGAGCACAAGGTTATTTATTTTGTTCGTCTTGCCAGTGAGCAGCATAAGTTTGACATGTTTCCCAGAAACAGTTAAGAAACTAATTTTAGTTATGTCTACGAAAAATGTAAAATACTCGTGTACTTTTCAGAAATCATACACAGATGACTTTTGCTATTATTTCGTGAAGGAAATGTAATCCATTTGCAATGTGTACCGTTTGTCATTGCGATTTTTCAATTCCGCATGGTGGAGGGGCTGATGTTTTTAAACATGTTGTATGTACATAAGGACAACATGAGTTGGACTGGTAAAAAATAATTTTTCTGTGGAAGCAGATTACCAAAATGTTATGAATGCAGAATGCCTGTTTTCTGCAATTTTACTGCATCAGATCATGCTGTAGTTTTTAGAGAAATGTTTCCCGGCAGTAAAATCACCAAGAAATACTCAAGGTGCAAGGACAAAAACGGCTGCAATTGTAGAAGAAATAGGTTCACAAAATTAGTATGAAAAATAAATCTTCAGTTATTGATTGCATTAAAAGAGTTCCATTCTGCTTCAATAATACCAGTGCAAAACTGTATCCAGTTGTTGTTTCTTTCTTTTTCCCCTTAAATCCATAGTCATCAGAAATTGAGTGTAGTTTACTTTCTGTCCCCACTTTAGAAGAGATTTGACAGTAGCACAGTTAATTATTAAAACTTTTAAAGACTGAATTCTTCAGAGTAATTGCCATACCAGAAATGCACCAGGAATTTTAGGCTTGAAGATTTATGTTGCAAAAATCTTAAAAAGTAAAGAAAAAAATTCATATTTGCTAATTACGAAATGTACCTGTCACCTTAAATTTAGCAGTGAAAAAAGGTCAGCTTCTAAGTGTGAATGAACACATTGTTGATATTATTGAAAGAAATCCTAAAAGGAAGGGAAAGTTGAAACATTTCTAACAGCTGCATAATATGGAAATAAAAAAATTTCTTAAACATGTATGTTAAGGCTGTCTACCTTTAAAAAAATATTTACCTTGAATCTTCGATAAATGGAACCCTTTTCTTGCATTTTTTGAAGAAAACGTAAATACTTCCAGAGTTAAGATAAAATGCTGTATTGAAAGTTATAAAATACCTAAAGTAAATGAAGATGTAGTTACTGCTTTCACTGTTAAAAAGAGATTGGGGGGGAGTATTTTCTGCACCAGTAAGCAATTTCATTGGCAGTTCTCAAAATAATATTACAAAATATAAATTTAAAGCTGATGCAAATTTCTCTCAAAATAAAATAAAAAAAAAAGTTCTCAACTCCGATTACTGTAAGTTTATCTTGTGAAGAACGAATATTTATGTTTTTGTCTCTGAACCTTAAAAAAGCTTTTTTCTTTTTTGTATATTCCATTTTGCCATCACAATGTTCTAAACACAGTTCAATGGTGCATAATTACATTAATTCATATTCTGCAATCAATAATTAGTGATATGGTTAAAGTATTTAATAATTAGATAAACGGATTAGAGTATTTTTCTGTTATTAGAAGGTACAAGTAATAAAACTTTTTTTTTTTTTTTTTTTTTTTTTTACATGTAAGTATTTTTGCATTATTTGGATTTAAGAATTAATAACTGAACTTCCAGATAAATAGAGCCATTTAAAGTTTATTCATTAGTAAAGATGTATTTTCTTTCTACATATTTTTATTATTAAAAAAATCTCTTTGTTATTGAGAAAATTCTTGATTTTTAAGTGTCGTAGGTCGGCAAGTATGTATTTATGTATCTTCTATGTTTTTCTTCTTATTTTCAGAATGTGTATTATTTACCAGAAAAATTAATCAAGAACTAATTACTGTAATCTTTACTGTGTAATATATAACAATGGGCCATGCTATATTTAATGCAGTTATTCATTTTCATTACTTGGTCATTTTAAAAACATACTAAATTATTTGTAGGATGATGATGAGGAAGAAGAGGAGGAAGAAATTGAACCTGCTGTACAGGAAGAGACTTTAGTTAGAGGAAGAAGAACTGCAATTTTAGATTCTAAGTTAAGGGTATGCATTTGCATTAACATATTCATCATCCATGTTCTGCATTTTAAAATTTTGTTAATGTTTATTCTCATCTTTGGTATAGTAGAACTGTAATATATTTTCTGCAGCTGTTCCATATAATAGTTTTAAAAATTGTAATAAGTTTCATTTTCTGTTACTATAAGCTTTTCCAGAAATGTGACTTAAAGCCTTATGGGTAAAATATTAAGATTGTTAAAGAGTTTTTAATCATGATTATAATTATGAATTAGTTTAAATTTAAGGGAATATAATTTGCCTAGAAAGGCTGTTAAACTCTTTCTGCTGTTATAAGTCAGCTGTGTGTGGGAGCCTGTTTAAATGTAATAAATGGTTACCCTCATCTTCAACCAGGTTTCTTAAAATATTTTATTGATAATAAAATTTATGAATTGGTATAAAAAACTAATGTTTACTAACAGTATTACACATCATAAACCAAGAGGTCCATATTGTTTTAAATTGCATCTTTCAGTAGTTCATAGTTGTATATCTGTAATATTTTCTAATATCCTAAATTATTTGAAAATATTGAGGAAGTATGATGAGAATATATAATTTTAAGTCTAAAAGTGAAAAGTTTTATTTTTTATTTTAGTCTTGCTAAGATTTGAGTTTTTAATTATTGCCAAATATTATTAAATCATACTTTTCAGTGATTATCTGCTTTTTGTTTCGTAGTAGAAAACAGTACAGTTTTATGTGTAAAAGGTATCTATCGCAATTCCCTAAAAAATTACCTATAAGAGTATTTTAGCTATTTATTAAGCTAAACGTTTTGAATTCTTTCTCGGTTCTGTTAAAAAAATTACAATGGAAATTCAGCTATTGAGACAGGTTTGAATTTCATTGTCACACAATGCTAATTTTTAGATGTCATGTAAGCATTTTATGATAGACAAAGTTGTACTGTAAGCATGTTTTTTAAGGCAACTTTGTTGACTCAGAATTTGTTATAGTTCTGTTGAAAAATATTTGCAGACTGAGCAGTCCGCTGAAGAAAAACGAAAACAGCATCAAAAGGAATTAGCTGAGCAGTTAAATAAAGAAGCTAGAGCAAGACTGGCCGAATCAACTGGCATTCAGAAAGAAGAAAAGTAAAATTTTATTTTTGTATTGTCAAAGTATATGAGAAATATTCAATATCCAAATAATGAAGTTTTTAGTTGTGTAGTGGAACATAATTTAATGTTTCTATATAATTATTAAGATTTCCTAAGTGGCAACATGATGTAATGTTTTGAGTAGTTATTAATATTTGGCGTGTGGCAACAACGAGTTGAGCTAAAAACATTGTTACTTGGAGTGTTCCTTTTTAAGCGTTGCATGGAGTAATGTAGCATAAGCTGACAGTTGTGCTTTGGGGTGATTTAATTACCTTCAAGTGTGAGTTTTATGAAGTGTTGGATGTACTTTACATCTGTGATTAATCATTCATTAGTTAATCTATGATAGCAAAGCACATTAGTGTTATTAAATTATGAGAAACTTCATTATGGAGGTTCTTTTAAAGAGGAACTAGAATGAAAACTCCTATAGCCATCCAATTCATTGCGAACAAGATCTCAGGTGTTCAATAGTCTTTCATGTATCTAATGCCATATATTATTTTAATTTCATGTGCAGTAACTTTGATTATCAAAATCATTGTTTATTCAAACTTCTTGAAACTTGCACATCTATCAAGAATGATCGTACGAAAAACCTAAAAATAAAAGTATAGCTGTTATTACCAGAATTATCTTATTTCTTTTCCATTGATTGATAATTTAGCTTTGGTTTGGGGGGATTCAGCGACTTCTTCTAAACTGTCTTCCTGTATTCATGTGCACTGCCCTGCTTTCACCTCTTTAATTCCAGCTATTCAGTGTATTTCAGTTTGAATGAAAAAAATTTTATCTTATGAATGTAATAGCATTTGTAGGAAAAAGAACTGGTTTTGATTAGATATTGAAATTCATAAATATTCTTAATCACTCACCGTTTCTTCTCAGACAGAATCATCAATTAAAAAAGGTGTCATCATAGTTATGCACAATTTTAATAATTTAGATAATATTCAAATAAAATCGAAAGATCATTGGCCATCTTTAATAACCAACTAATCATGTAAAGTGTGTGTGTGTATGTGTAGTACATATATTAGGATGCATGTTTCATATTAGGTTATAAACTGACGAGTTAGTCTCGTGGGAAATGGTAAAGTGCCTTAAAAGATTAAACAGATGCATTAGCTGCAGATTATTTGTCAAAATCAGCAATTATAGTTATTTTATTGTTATTGCATTTTTTCCATATTCATAATGTTGAAAATTTTATTTCAAAAATAGAGCCTTACACTTTCCCTTTTTTAGATCAGTGTTATAAACCCTCACCAGAATTAAATGTATTTTGATTATGGAGACAGAATTACATAATAGACAATCAAAGCATAATTGCAGATTTAATCAAAATTCAGATTAATGGGTGTTTTCGCCTTTTCTCCACTTGAGTCGATAGCCATTTCGTTGACAATACAGTGTATCTAAAAAATTCAAAATGCACTGTGTGAATGTTATATTCTAGTTTTTGCCAGTATAAAATATTACATCTATTTAAAATGCAATTTTTGCAAATTAATTTTCTCAATTTGAATTGCCCCTTTCTCCATAGGTTGTGAAATGCTTATGACATTTGTCAACAAGAATGTAAATTAAATTTTATGCAGTGATCCATATAGTTGCTGAAATTCTGTTAGGCTGTTGATGCTTGAAAAATCCTTATCAAAACATTTATCTCTTGTGTTCCGTGTTTTTTTTTTTTTTTTTTTTTTTTTTTTTAACCTTTTTAATTAGCATCATATGGTGCATCTGATTTGGTATTTTTAAAGCAATGTAACTTGTAACAATGGATTTTATGATCATAAGTAGGGTGAACTTGCATCTATCTTTCCATGGTTCTCATCACTTTTCACTTCCCAGTTGAGCAAATTTCACATGGTTTCAATCATTTACAAATATTTTCTGAAATAAATATTTTCCATGGTTGTGGAATGGCACTGTCAACATTTGTCATTTTCTCCAAATATTTTTAAAATGATGAATTATGCCTTGAATAAAATGAATGCAATTTTTGCTGAAAGTGAAATCCTGATTATTTAATAGATTAGCATTCTGCAGTTTATTTTACTGTATAATATATACTTATACAGGGTGTATTTAAAAAGAAACCAAACTTTTGCTTATTGCTTAAAACATCTTTATTGCTTATTGCACCACATTTTAAGCACTGTTCCTATCAGAATAGTCCCCTTTTATTGGCAATACATCCTCCCCATCTACCATTTTTGGAAAGCCCCATGGAATGCATTTTCTGGAATATTACACATTTCTCTTGTCACATTGTCCAGAATCTGCACTATAGTTTGGAAATGATATCCCTTCAACATAGGGAAACAAAAAAAGAGCTTGCTGTGTTTAGGTTTGGGGAATATGGTAGATGAGGCACAACTGGAGTGTGATGATTTGCTGGATAGCTGTGGACAAAGAGTGACATGTGAGTCAGCACATTGCTGTGATGTAACATCCGAATCTAGTTTTTCCACATTTCAGGCCTCTTCCTATGCACAGTATTTCTCAAACCCACTAGAATTTGTTGGTACACTTCCTTGTTTACCGACCATGATATAAATTCCTGATGGACAATGCCTTTGCAGTTAAAAAACACAACCAACATCACCTTGATCTTTGACTGACTTTTGCATAATTTTTTTAAATGAGCAGATCCTTTGCCCACCCAGTACATTTCGTTACAGTATCCATAAATCCATGTCTCATCGCCTTTTATGATGTTCTTTAAAAAGTTTTCATTTCCAGGCTGATTTCAAAACAGGCCTGTTTCTGAACATCAGTCAGCGAATGCGGCACTGATGCAACCCAACTCAAGTTTGTCACTCAAAGTTTGATGGCATGATCCTATGCTTATGTGCACTTCATCAGCATCTTCTTGAACAGTTAAGCGGCGGATTTAGACGAGTCACAGTACCAAGACCAGCATTCTGCCATATTCGAAATGCTTAAACTACTTATAGCACTCAGTGTGACTCATACAGTCATCCCTGTAGGCTTGGCTAAGCAACTGAAATGCCTGTGGGAAAATTTTGCAAAGGTTTTAGTGAATTTAACTCAAGACAGCTCTTTCATTGTTACTTTGGCACTAATCTCATGAATGACTTGTGCATGTGCCCACTTCAGTGGCTGTAGCTAACCAACTAATCGTCAGAGCAAAATATGATATATGGCAGTTTATTATTTAAACATTTTTCTGTGTGCATTCAATAGCCACAGTGCTTTCGTTTTGCCCGTTGGGCCAGGGTATTTCAAAAATGAACACACCTGGCAAACTGATGATACTTGTTAATAAGGTATAAGGGCATCTAGCATGCTTTATCAAGAGTACTTTATTGCCTTCTCAAATAATGACAAGCACTTCCCCCCCCCCATATTGCAAGCACTGGCAAAAGTTTCTGCAGATGAAATCTTATTTCTAGAAATTTGTTAAGTTTTGTGAACTGTTTCTGAAATCTGTTTTCTGGCAAAAATAATTTTGAAGGGAGGGGCAGTCAGACCTCCGAAGTGTCCTTATTCGTATATTACTTGGCATAGTTTTGATAAATACTAAGTGTAAAGTATACTTTCTTGCTTTTCATGCTTCCTTTCATTGGCCCTCTTCTTTGAACAAAGGGCTGAAATGGGATGTACCCTGCGCAAAAAAAAGAGGGGGGGACAGTTCTATATCTCTCATTCTACTGGGGCGATTGACGAAATTCAACTTGTGTTTTTCATGTCTTGAAAGCACGACTTAGAATATGTATTAGATTTATATATAGGTTATTTTGGCACAAAATCGGACTTTTTCTGAAATGACATCCCGATTTTTTTTCCCTTCATATTTCGATTCTACGACTCAAATTTCGCCAAACTACCAAGTTTTGTAAAAATCGTTCGAGTTTTTTTTTTTTTTTTTTTTAAATAGCTCTCCAAATTCTCTTTTTTTTATTAAACTTATTTGATTCGTCCTTTCACATTTCGAAATTTAGGTTCATACCAAATAAAATTCAGCCATTTTTTATGCTTTTTTTTTAATTTGTATTTTAAAATAATTTTTATAAATTTTTCAAAAGAATTTTGAATTATAATCTATAAAATTTTTACCATCATCTTAAAGTAGACGTATTTCTAATCATATCAGCAAAAAATGACAGTTTTTTATTCAAAAATTTCCGAAGATATATGTAAATATATAGATTGGCGTGTTTTAAAATTTTGCATATTTGTTGAAAGCGATGGAACATCAAATGTGGTTTAGACACTTTGCTAAAATGGTGTGGAAGTAGAAACGCAGTGACTTTTTTTCCCCTGCTCATGCACAATGTAAAAAGGTTGTAACGAAATGCCTTTTTTTTTTTTTTTTTTTTTTTGCTCCAGCATAATGGAAGAAAAAGGAAAATTGATTGCCACATATTAAGAGGTTTTCCAAGTAACTTATTCTTGGCACAAACTGAAAAAATTGTGCCAAGATAAATTTTTGAATTTCTCTAAATTTCACACAAAATTTAATATCTAGTCGTAATTTGAGTCATAGAATCGAAATATAAAAAACAAATTGTATGTTATTTCAGAAAAATCTGATTTTGTGTCAAAATACGTATGTTGGAACGTATATATATATACCTATATATAAATCTAATATACAGTACAAAGTCCGTAATCCAGACTCGTTGGGACTTCCCAATTAGGGGTTTACTGGATTATAGATCATCAATTTAAATCTGGTAAGATGAGCATGCAGAAATTATACAATTAAAAATATGAAACCGTAATTTATGAAATAAAGAGCAATTATGATCTAAAGGGTATCAAAATTTAGAAAGAAAAAAGCTTAATATTTATTTGTTTACTTTATTAAACTTTTCAAGTTTTTAAGTTGCTTCATTTTTTGTGCTAATAAATTTCTCTTTAATTTTATAAACAGATATAATTTCTTTTTCAGTTACAAAGTTCCACTGTTCAAGTCTTGTAATTTCTGTATCGAAACTAACTTGTCAATCGGAATTTTTTCGTTTTCAATTTCTTCACTATCGGAAACGGTATTTTCTAGATCTAGAACCATACTACAGATTTCGACATCCGTTAATTGATTGATGATTGGAGCATTGTCGTCGCAGTGAAAAACTTTTTTTATATCATCTTCATTTATTACCTCTTTTCCACATTTCTTTACAAAATCAAATAGCTGGAAAATTTCACCTTTAATTTGCGATGTCCTAAAACCTTAAAATTTGCGGCTATCATCTTCATCGTCCTCACTATGAAATATGGTAGCTGGCCATAAATTATGCCAAACATTTTTAAACGTATCTGGAGACACATCCTCCCAATGCTCATGCATAAAGCATACCAAAAAAAAAAAAAGTTGTGGCTTTGAGGTCCGAATTATAGATCATTCTGGATAATGGACATCCAGATTACGAACTTTGTACTGTATATCTTAAGTTGTGCTTCCGAGACATGAAAAACGCAATTTGAATTTTGTCTAGAACTATCTCATATTTATTTTTGTGCAGTGTGCAAACTAAATGAACGACTTCAGAAAGAGCAGCAGGAACAATGATTTTACTAGTAAATAAAGCTAATGGAAATTGTTAAAATTTATTGAATATGACTAGAGACATGTAGACATCTGGAAGGACTTGGACATAGAGCCTTCTCAGCAACTCTGATATTACAGATCTGATACTGTATAACAAACACTGAAACTGTGTATATTTGTCTCATTATAGAAGCATGAGACTATAATGAGATCTAACCATGCACATACATAATTGTTATCAATATTAATATTTAATTATACACATCGCTTTCCGAAAACTGGTTGGCGACTAATTTTTCATATTAAATTAAGGCAGCAGCAATTTTGAAAATGGCAGTTCAGTAAGAATTTCATAAAAGAGCAATGATTCAATAAAATTTAAGGAGCAAGAAACATTCATAGCAAAACATTTACTTTTCTGAAATCCTTTTTTGGGGGGCAGCTGTACTTTTACCTATCTGCTAGTCTGTTTTTGCTTATAAATATGTCAGAATTGCAAAAATCTGGCATTTTGTGCACTGTTATTCTCTCATATACACAACACTCTTGTGTTCACTTAAACAAGATCATCGAATTGTACGAATTTGATTATGGCTCACAAATTTCGATCATTTACATTATACAGCTTCATGGAATGTGAATTTTTGTATTCTCTACTGTCGGATGAAATGTCGTATTTCTGAAAAAATCCAGTGCTTTTATTTTATCAGTTGGCAAACTGCACAATCCCATAACATTTGAAAATGAAAATTCAGCACGATCGCATGTATTTTGGTTGCCAAAGATACATTTTACCTATGTTATAAGTTGCCTATTTTAGTGATATAGCATGTTGCCCCATGAATACTTTGAGGAAGGGGTGTAGATAATCAGAAAGTACCTTTTTACCTTTATGTATGGTTATTTGATACTTCAGCATTATGATAATGAAGTGCAGATAAAATGCTGTACCACAAATTTTTCATTTTTGTTTCCTATGATATTAAATGAAAGCATCTTTGTTCCAAATCAAAAAATGCTTTTCCAATCATACCAGGAGTATCATTTTAGATCTGTAGAACTAATAAATTTGTCATTAAACTAGATGTGATAAATTAGTTTCCTTAATTGTGTTACTTGAAGTATCAAATTTACGAACTTTGAATTTAATATTCTTACTATGTTATATAAAAATGCAATCCTTTTATGGTACCTTTTAGTTTTGTGTTTATTGGCCTACTTTCTTCAATTACTATTAAATTGAAATGAATCTTTTCAATTACAAATTTGTATTATATTTATATTATATATTAATAATATGTAGAGTGTAATGCAGGGGAAAAGCAATCTATGTATTATTTTAAAATGATTGTTACATTAGCTTCTTAATATTTGTTTTCATTATAGTTAGATAGAATTAACAATTTTTTAAATTGTAGGGTCCGCAAGTCTAATATATCATATAAGTCAGTTGGGCAACTCCCGAAAGAACCTGAACTGAAAGAACTTAAAATTTTTGTTGGTAAGTAGTTTATTTGCTCTTTCCATGCTTGGTTGGGAGATAAAATTAAACATGGACAATTTTATAGCGAAAACTTTTCCAGAGATAGAAAAAATTAAACTTAAACACATGGTGAGAAATATTACATACCTGTGTATAACAAGTTTAAAGGAGCAGCTTTGTGTATATTTCATTAACATACTATGTAGCTAAAAAGCAAGAAGCAAAGCAGAGAAATACAAAGTATGATGCACTGCATATTAAAATAATGAATCTCAGATTTACCTCATATCATCTGAGTTGGTATTTTGATTCTATTGATATTGCAGTAGAGGCTCCTAGCAGCAAACCAGAATAATGAGTAAAGTGAATTGCATGGATTTTGTTTTCACCATATACATAGAACTCTAATTTAGTACGCATCCAGTATCGTCTATAACTGGATTTTTTTTTTAAATCATTTGCGTGTTAAAGAGAATTATACTTTTGATTTGCTTCAAAACATAAGATTTGTAAGTTAGGTATTGTGAAGCACGTGAAGGACATATGCCTTCATAGAGTATTTTTCTGAGAAATTGATCATATTCATGTTGCACATGAGGAAAATGAAATCTACACACGCACACACACACACACACACACAAAAAAAAAAGCCTGCCGTTTCTCTGGGTTTGAGCCCAGATAAAATTACTAGTATTCAATTCCTTAACTATTCAACTACTGTGTGAACTGTAATATCTTAAACTGTGTCATTAATTGAGCAATGCTGTAATAGTTGTTAACAGTTTAATGATGGTATTGTGACCTCTCTGTAACACATCTCAGCATATTATTAGCTAACATAAGCTAAAAAGGGAAATGTCAGGTGCTAAGAAAATACTGTATAATTTTAATTTAATAGTTTTTCCATAACAGGAATAATTTGCAACCATTTTTACCTTTGGATACATAACATGCATTTTGAAAACTTCATCTGGAGCATTGCTAGATACTGTTGGGCATCACTTTCCGATAAAAAGTAGAGGTATTAAAAAAAAATTTTTTTTTTTTTTAAATATTAAAAAAAAGAAAGAGGGAAAGAAAGAAATTGTTACAAAAAGATTTGTAAACTGTAGTAAAAATCACGTATTCACTTTCCTACTTACTCTTTTAGTGTTTAAAATATGTATGCCACAAATTAAAATTAATGAGATTTAATAAACAGTAAAGGTTTTATTTTTTAAAAAATTTGCTTAATCAAAAAGTGCACGAAAATTTGTTTATAAAAAATTTTGTTTCTAGGGAAGGAATCCCATTCTGACTCATCAGGAATGTAATTTTGATGACATTTTAAAAACAAATAATTTTAACATTTTTTCCTTGCTTAATAACTGCTATGTGAAATAGCCATTTGCTTATTTTTTACATTCATTCATTTTGTTGAACATCTAATGTACTAAGTGCTTAAATCATCAAGGGAATTTATCAGTATCCTTATATAGCATCCTTCTCAGCAAAATACACATCTAAGAAAAATTGTTAAAATTAATCAGTAAAGGATGTTACATTAGACAAAATAAATAAGGTAGGTAGTTTTTGAATAATTTAACCAAAAATGATAGTTAATTCAACCTTCTAATATGAATAAAAATTGAGAAAGTGGTCTATTTTCTCTCCCCCCCTCTTTTTTTTTTATTTTTTTTATTTTTAAACCCCAGAAGGGCTATTAATCTTAAAACTTCAAACCACTATAAGCGGCTGTTTCACTTTTAAATTGTTGAACCTGAAATATTATCGCCCAGTATTGTATTTAAAGAAATTAAGTAGTGAAGAATCTGCATGTATGTATGTATGTATGTTTATTGCATTGTGAAAAAACAATAACTAGAACCATCAAATTTTGAATAACGTAATTCTAACCTGAGTATGAGCCTTGAAGCCCGAATCTTGAATTATGAATTTATTGTTTATTATCTTTTACATATATTTTATGAAGAAACTCGGCAATTTCAAAGTAAGCAGTTGCTACACACTGTGTCGAATAAAATATTTTTATGTCCCTCGCACGAGACTGTATATTGGAAATTCTAAAGATAACCCAGGCAGCATGCATTCGTAAATTGCACGAGAAAAATACGTGCAATTTACGAATGGCCTTTCGTATAAAAAACGTCCAAGTTGAACGTAAAAATATCATAAAAAGTGTCCAGTGGCAATTACTAAATATTTACGTATATTTTTACATTATACTATACGTAACTTTTACGTAAAATTTAGGTATATTTACGCGAGAGACTACTGTTCATTCGCTACTTTTACGTATAATATACGTAAATTTCAGGGATTTACGTATATTTATCGCATATACGTAAATCTCAATTTTTGCTTCACGTATGCGTATATATTTAGTAAAAATTTACTTAAATTTCCCCGATTTTTTGCTGTATATAAACGTATATATTACGTAAAAATTAAGGTAGATATTTTCTGTATTTTACGGTACAAAAACGTATATATTTGATAGAAATTAACGTATATATTTCCCGTAATTTACGGTAAAAAATTACGTATATTTGATAGTAATTGACCTAAATCTTCCCTATGTTTTTCTTTGCATATGCGAATGACTGGTAAAAAATTTAATCCAATGTATTCTCCACTTTACTGTGTATAGATGCACATTTTTTAAATCTCCAATTACCTTTTCACTGCATTTTTCATAAAATGTACTTATTTTAATCTCGTATTTTTTATATAAATCTATGCAAAAACTTTCTCTATGCTATGATTAAAAGGTAAAATAAATTTTATATCAAAAAATCTTACAAAATATCTGCAAAATTTAGTACAAATATGGAATATATATAACTGAAAAAAAAAAAAAAATTCAAAGTAAAAAAATGCAAAAAAAAAAAAACTAAAAAAAAAAATTCTATTTGTAAACTTACAAAGGCTGCAAATTCTTTTAAATTTCATTTAAAACATTCAAAATATTAAAAACTCGTAGCCAACACTAAAATCATTAAATAAATAATTCCAAAAACATTTCTTTTCATGAAAATTCATTTAAAATTTAAAACATAAACTCAGTTTAGCAAAAGTGTTACAAATACACTTTTAAAATGAAATATTGCTTCCAAAGGACATTTTTTAGCCATGTAAATGAATGAGCATTAATTGATTTAAAAATAGAAGTTTACAAATTTTGCTAGTTTGAATGAAATATTAGCGATTTTCAGCCTGTTATGCAATTTTTGAATAGAAATTAATTTTTTGCATTAAATTTTCCAGTTATATATATTCCATATTGCTGTACATACCTAAAAGGTGGATATGTAAAAATTTGATATTAAATTAATTTTATCTTTTAATCATAATATGCAGAACATTTTTGCATAGATTTATATAAAAAATAAGAGATTAAAATAAGCACATTTTACGAAAAATGCAGTAAATAGATAATTGGAGCACTTTACACAGTAAAGAGGAGAAGACATCGGACTAAATTTTTACCAAAGTCATTCATATATGCAAAGTAAACATAGGGAAGATTTAGGTCAATTATTATCAAATATATAAGTTTTTATACCGTAAAATACAAGGAATATCTACGTTAATTTCTATCTAAAGTACAATATAGTTAATTAACAAATTCAATAAACGAATGTAGCACAAAAGAAAATCATACGTTTAGATTATTTGAATGAGTGTGCTAAATTTTAAAATTGTTAAATATAGACCAGGAAATTGTAGAAAACTTACCTTTTCCAATAGTTTACCAAGTTGACTTTGTTATTTTTTCCTTGAAGATGAATGTTTAATGTCACAAATATTTCATTCATATCTTCAGATAATACACAAATATACATATTTATTTATTAAAATTCAGTTTATCCCAAACATGTTAAAGAAAATATTAATTTACATGCAACGTTAATCGAGTAGCTTCTTCTGTTTAATTACACACATAATTATGATATGTAAAAATTTTACATTTATCAGTCAATCTTGCAATGTATTGTAATCTATTATTGTTGTCTTTTCTCAGTTTAAAATCTTTATAAATAGATTAGATCAGTACTAAAAAGTTCACCTCTACAAAGAAATGTTTTATTGAGGTATTTTTAAAAAGTTCCCTTTTACAATGTAACTGTTCATATTTCATACGTTCGTAAAATTATGCAAATTCAAAATTACCTAAATATGTTCTTTATTTTATCTTATATACCAGATAAAATTTCAAAAAGTTAATTTTCTTAGGAATATTGAATTTTTTAAAATTTATCTCTCGTGACTTTTTCTATCATTATAAATGTGCATGTTGATGTGGACATACCAATTATTTTTTCATCAAATAGCTTTATAGTATTAAATGATTTAAAAAAGAGGCAACTGGACAAAAGCAATTAGAAGTTGGCTAATTTTTTATTAATTTGTTTGTTGTCAAATGCTGTGCATTTTAGATTATGCTATGATGACAATGAGTTATTTAAATTATAAAATTATATGAACATATCCCACATAAATTAACAAGTATAAATTTCAAGTTGTTTGAAGTATTATGAACTGTAATACTTGCAAAAGAAATACACATGAAATTAATTTAAGAATTAGGTTTATTTTACAGGTATTCAAAAACTGCAATTACTGTTAAACAATAAAAACTAACATTAAATCTGAAGAGCATATTTTTTTCAAAAAAAAAAAAAAATTCAACGTAGACTTCATGCAGCTTCGCCATATTTGTTCTATAGTTCGCTGTCTTTAATATCCAGCTCGATTTTTGTAACAGTGAATTCTTTGTCACCCTATGTTTTGAGAACAGCTCCTAAACAAGAAAAAGAAAAATTTGTAATAATTTCACACTTCAGATGTTTTCAGTTTTTAAATATAGTTCAAGTATTAAAAGATGCATATAAAATGCACCGAGTATTTCATATTTAAAAATTTACATTTCAGTAATTAAAAATTTAATTTCATACTATCAGACAGTAAGCTTCAATTATATACCTTACAACAGTGCCTATAATTTCAAGTGAAAA